CACGGAATCGTCGGAACAGTAGACTCAATAACCCGGTCTTCCCATGGGAGGCCGGGTTATTTTTCTTCCGCGTTTTCGCGCCGGAGATACAATCCGCCGAGATGAGCAAGACATTGATTCAAGCCGAGCACTTGTCGAAGACCTACAAGGTCTTTACCCGCCCTGTCGATCGTTTCGTAGAAGCCGTCACCGGTCGTCCGCGTCACCAGAAGGTGGAGGCGCTGAAAGACGTTGGTTTCGAGCTCAAGGAGGGCGAAGGGCTGGGCATCGTCGGCGAAAACGGAGCCGGCAAAAGCACGCTGCTGAAGATCCTCTCCGGGGTGACGGTGCCGACCGAAGGCCGGTTGCGGGTGGAAGGTAGGGTTGCGTCTCTACTGGAGCTCGGCATGGGATTCCACTCCGAGCTGACCGGACGCCAGAACATTCGGCTGAATGCCGCGATGATGGGTTTTACGGACGAGGAAACCGACGTCAAGACACCCAGAATTATCGACTTCAGCGAGCTCGGCGAGTTCATCGATCGACCGATCAAGACCTATTCGAGCGGTATGGCCATGCGGTTGGGCTTTTCCATCGCGGTTCAGGTCGAGCCCGACATTCTGATCATCGACGAGGCGCTGTCCGTAGGCGACGGGTACTTTCAAAAGAAGTGCATGGACGAGATTCGGCGTTTGTTGGATAGGGGCTGCACCTTCTTGTTCTGCTCCCATGCCATGTACTACGTCTCGCATTTCTGCGACCAAGCCCTGTGGTTGCGTAAGGGTCAAGCCGAGGCTTTCGGCGAGGTCGCGGGTGTGGTTCGCGAATACGAATCGTTCCTAGCCAAGAAATCGAAGAAGAATCGCCCCCAGGAAAGCTTGCCTGAGAAAGAAGGTCCGGCAAGCTTTACGGCAGCCCGTATGCTGGGCGGTCAGGATGGGGTATATCGGCGGGGCGAGTCCCTGGGCATCGAGGTCTCCTGGCAAGCGGAGAAACCGGACTTGAGCTTCCACCTCGGAGTGGCGATCGACCGTAGCGACGGAGTTCAGATCATGAGCTTCTCAAGCCACCGGGATGGCAGGGATCCATTGACCGGGTCCAACCAGCACCATCTGCGGCTTTGGATTCGAGACCTACCGCTGCTGCGGGGAGAATTCGAAATCTACCTATTCTTGCTCGGTGAGGCGGGGCTGCATTTATATGATCAGCGGCGGGTACCCGGTG